TCCTTCCTTCCTTCCTTCCTTCCTTCCTTCCTTCCTTCCTTCCTTCCTTCCTTCCTTCTTTCCTTTCATCCTTCCTTTTATTCTTTCAAGCTTTCTGTTGAGAGGCCTATTCCAGTATCAATTATTCTAACATGGTTGGATGCAGAAATCTGTTACCTTTCTTTTTTAAAAAATTGTGATACAAAATACATGACATAAAATTTACCATTGTAATAATTTTTAAGTGAAAGGTTAAGTATGTTCACATTGTTCAATAAAAGATCCATATTTTTAAGAAATGTGTTTCAATAATAAACCTAAATATTAATACATATTTATTTCACCTATTTTCCATAGTCATACCATAATGTGATGATAGATGNTTAATAAACCTAAATATTAATACATACTTATTTATTTCACCTATTTTCCATAGTCATACCATAATGTGATGATAGATGATAGATTAACTAGATAGATAGATGATAGATAGGTGATGATAGATAGATGATATAGATAGATAGATGATAGATAGATAGATATAGATAGATGATAGATGATAGAGATAGATAGATAGATGATAGATGATTGATAGATAGATGATAGATAGATGATGATAGATAGATGATAGATGATAGATAGATGATGATAGATAGATAGATATAGATAGATGATAGATGGATAATATGTAAGTACATATGTGTGTGTTAATGTATATTCTATTGGTTAATCTGAATGAAATTATTAACTTTGTATTATGACATTAGGTACAAAATAAAACCAAGGCTGATATGACTAGCAAGCTTTTAATCACTCTTAAATTATCATTCTTAAGTTGTCACTCTTAACTTATAACAGTGATTGCTTACAGAGAAATGTTAATATCAGCTATTGGGCAATTTTTGCACTAGACACTGTTCTAAGCACTTCATATGTATTATCAATTTTCATTTAGCCTAAGATATTACTGAGTATAAAGCATACTTTAATTCATGTACAACTAGGAAAAAAATTCTTTCAATTAAACTTTGATAAGTGCTTATATATGATTTAAATATGTACCCTGATTTAAGATTTGTTAAAATATAAAGAAAAGATTATATTACCATTGTTAAAATACAGCTCATTTAATCCTGACAATAATCTCACTAGGCAGCTACTATTATTATAACCACTTTACAGAAGAGAAACAGGCACACAAAATTTACATAAGTAAATTCACAAAGATAGCAATTAGTGGGGCTGGAATATAAACACAACCACATGGCTTCAGAAACTGCAAGGTCAACTGTTCTGTGATAGCTTAAAAAAATCACAGATTCCTTGTCAAGAACCATAGAGATTACATATCCATATCGCTGACACATAGCTTAAAGACAAGAAAGATAGAGTAGCTTGTCCTTGGTCACAGAGCTAGCTAGTGACAGCCTGGAACTAGACTCAGGTTTTCTGATTCAGGAGTAACTACCTTCGAAGTACATTAAATTTTTCTAAACATGTGTCTAAGAAAGTAGTTCAAATTTGTAATTTTTTCTTAAGTTTTATTTTAAATAAGGGGTGGAATTTAAACTATCACTTAATTTTTCTGTTTTGAGCAGACCTTCTGTCATTGGGTGCACAGAGCACCAAAATGGTTAAAATAGAAGCAAAGAAATTAATATGTGTACATTGTCTTCATACCATTGATGCATATTACCTTTACTAAGCATCTTTGAGCTATAAGTTTTATTGTCACTTCTTTCTATTATATTACATTGCTTTATCCATGAAAAGGCATAGAAAGTAAGCAGATAGAAAGTTCAGTGTCTATATTCTGCAATCTGTAGGAAAATGTCTCATAGTTATTGGAATTCACACAAGACTGCATTTCAGTATGAGTAGCTGCCCCTGACACTGTTTATGATGCTTGAGCTAAAGTATTTTTACAAAATGATCTAGTGTTCAGTGCATGAATTTTTGAGATAAGAGTTTTTCCTTATAGCAATGAAATCTGAAAATCAACGTCAGATGGAAATCTTAACTCTAAGAGTTAGAGACATTGGTGGAAGAGCTTAAAAATAAGTGTGAATTTCAGGCTCCAGACTTTGAAAATGTGGCAGTTATCGCAAGTGTGAAATTCATGGGTGCAGATGGTAGATGAAGATATCCCAGGAGGGACCACTACTCTAAATCTCTAGACCCAAATAAAGAAAATCATTTTGATAAAGGAAACATTTCTGACCTTCAACATAAATTTACAACACAGGTTTTGCTGGATTCAGAAACTCATGGAAGTTAAATTATCGTTGGTTTAACAAACATTCCAATTGTGTAATTTGATAAAATATTTAATATTATAAAATATGTCAATAGAGAGTGAGAGGAGTATGTCATAAGAGAAAGGAGCTAAAATGTATGAAACCATTACTATTGCTATGTGTCAGATATTTTACATTTATAACTTTATTTGGGACAATAGTGTTCAGGTAAGTATTATTTTCCCCAACTAAAAATGACCTTATGGGTGCACCTTGAGCTTGAGTCATCAAACCAAAGGCACACTAATAGTTATGAGTACAATGAGCTCAGTGTTTGTAATATAACTTAGAACACATCTGTTTAAATTGACAATACAAAACGTAGTAAGAGCAAAATGGTATCATTATCTGGTACTTTTAAAAAAAAAGGAGAGATATAAAACCAAACTTGATCTTGGTTTTTTCTTGTTTTCTTTCCTTTCCTGATTTCTTTTCTGCACTTATCATAGATTAAGCTTAATGTAACTAACTAAATAGGACCTAATTAAACAAGATTTAATATATAAATTTTACATACATATTTCCATTTTCCTGTTCATGATGTATTATGTAGTGATGTTACCCATTAAATTTTAATAAATTCTTTCCGTACTTAAAATAAGTATTACAGTTGATAACACTTTTTAAAAAATATATATATATCTTTATTGATTTCAGAGAGAGGACAGGAGGGGAGAGAGAGAGAAAGAAACATCAATGATGAGAGAGTCATTGATCTAGCGTGCAACCCAGGCAAGTGCCCTGACCAGGAATTAAACCCCGATCGCCTGGATCCTAGGTCGACGCTCAACCGCTGAGCCATGCCCGGCCAGGCGATAACACCTTTTAAATTAAAATAACAGGTTAACCATTTAGTGATATATTTTTGTTGTATTTGTGAGTAATAAAGATTATTAGTTTAATAGTTTTTCACTAATAATACAAAATTTATTTACAAGCCAGTTTATTTATTTTTTCATAAGGATCAACCTTTCTAAACAAATGGAACTACATCAAACTAAAATGTTTTTACACAGTGAAGGAAACTAGCAACAAAACAAAAAGACCATCTACTCAATAGGATAACATACTTGCAAATGGTACATCTGATAAAGGGTTAATATCCAAAATATATAAGAAAATGATATTAAAAAAACCCAACAACAAAAAGCCCACCAAACAAGTCAATAAAAGAATGGGGAGAAGAACTGAATAGTCCTTCCATCAATTAAAAAGTATAGAAGACCAACAGATATATAAAAAGATGCTCAACATCACTAGTCATCAGAGAGATGAAAAATTAAAACCACAATGAGATATCACCTCACACCTGTCAGAATGGCTGCCATCAACAAATCAACAAATAGCTAGTGCTGGTGAGGGTGTGGAGAAAAGGGAACTCTGGTACACTGCTGGTGGGAATGCAGATTGGTGCAGCTACTGTGGAAAACAGTATGGAGTTTCCTCCAAGATTATAAAGAGCTGCCATTCAATCAGCAATTCCACCTTTAGGTACTTAG